AAAAAAAAAAAAAGATATTCAGATCTTTCTCCCTATGCACACTTAAGTACACTGTGTCTACTGCAGTTTGGATCTTCAACGTATGTACCCTAAAGGCCTAAGTGTTAAATGCTTGGTCGCCAGCCTATGGTGCTATTGGGAAGGATAGAACCTTTGGAGATGGGGCATAGTTTAAAGAAGTCACTGAGGATGTACCCTTAAAAGACATATTGGGACCCTAGCCTCTTCCTCTCTCTCTTTTTCACTCCCCAGTCACCATAAGATGAGCAGCTTCCACCCCAAAACACTTCCTCCATGATGTACATACCATCACAAGCCCAAAGCAATGGGGCCAATTAGTCATTGACAGAAATCTCCAAAACTGTGAATCAAAATAAATCTTTCCTCTTTTAAGTTGATTATCTGAGGTATTTTGTCACTGTAACAGCAAGTTAACACAATGTCTTTTAAGTTAGAATTTTTCTACTTCATGTGGGTTTTCAAGATGTGTGTAAGGAATTGTTCAAAATATTCATTTACTATTATTTCAACGAGAATGGATGGGATTGGTAACAATAGTTCCTCTTTCACGTACATTAGTATTAACAATTTGTTTTCTCTCTTTTTTCTTGGTTAGCTGATTCAAATATCAATAAATAGTTTTATTGATATTTTTCTAACAACCAGCTTTTGACCTTGTTTCACTTTTTTAGATCATTTTAATTAATTTGTGCTTTTAGTTTTATTATTTCCTTTTTTCTTTTGCTTTATTTTGGATTTAATTTATTCTTTTTTATCTAATTTTCTAAGGTAGAACCTTAGATTACTGAATCCAGATTTTTCTTTATTTTGTAATATATGCTATTAATGCTACAAATTTTCCTCCACCCAATACTTGCCCTATATTCCATGAATAAAGGTGAATTGTATTTTCATTTTTATTTGGAACAAAATATTTTTTAATTCCTCATGACATATTTTTCCTTAAACACATTTTTTTCCCTTGGAATATGTTAYTTAATCTCCCAACATTTTGAGATTTCCTAGTTATTGTCCTGTTATTGATTTCTAGTTTAATTCCATGTGGTCTGAGAACAAATTTTGTTACAATTTCTACTTCCTAAAAAAAATTATTTATTTATTTATTTATTTTAGTTGTAGTTGGACACAATACCTTTATTTTATTTATTTGATTTTATGTGGTGCTAAGGATTAAACCCAGGGTCTCGCACATGCTAGGTGAGCACTCTACCACTGAGCCACAACCCCAGCCCCTATTTCCTAAAAAAATTTTTAAAGAGTGTTGCATTGTCCAGAACATAGTCTGTCTTGGTCAGTGTTCTGTATGAGCTTAGGAAGGATGTGTATTCTGCTGTTGTTAGACGAAATATTCTATAAATATCAATTAAATCCAGTTGAATTCAGTTCAACTATATCTTTACTGATTTCCTGCCTTCTGGATTTGTCAACTTATAGATAGAAAGGATTGGTAGGAATAGATGTTGACATATAAAATACCTCTTATATCTTTCAAAATGTTTTTCTCATTTGATCTTTTAAAGCAGGGAATGAKTTTAAATAATTCCCTAGCACTATTTATCCTTGCATTCCTAAACTACTTTAATCCCTCATTTTTTGGTATACACTTTTTGTTTGATTTTTATTTCTGATTTTTACAGCAATATTTAATGGTTCACATTATGTTTTGTGGTTTCTCTGTATTTTGAATCATTTTATGCTGAGTTTGAAGAACTAAAATACATTTCTTCTTTTCCTATGATCTGAATAGTTTGTTATATAGCAATTATCTGTTTCTTGGGAGTCTTAAATGAATTCACTGTTAAAATCATCTGAACCTTGTCTGATTTTAAAGTCTTTGACGATGTTTTCATTTCTTACTTGGTTACTCGTCAAATTTAGGTTTTCCAAATATTTTTTAATCACTTTTAGTTAAATATTCTATAGGACCTCAAATTTACTAGAGCCGAGTTACACAAACTCTTCTGGGTAATTTCTTCTCATTCTGCCTATTGAACAACTGTGATTTACTTATTTCTTCTTTCCTTCTTTTTTCCCTTTCTTTGTGGAATTCCCCTCTTCTGGGTGTATCACTGTTGAAGACCTATGGAGTTAATCCTCACAACTTTTCTCTCTATATGTCCAATTCCCAGAAAAAAGTAAATCCCAAGGCACTGAATACATCTTTATACTGATAAATTCTAAATTTTTATCATTACCTAGTTTTTATCATTACTGTAAAGTCAGGAGACTCATGTATTTTGTTGGTGTCTATGAAATTACCTGGCATTGAGTGTATACTTTATAAAAATTTACTGACTAAATAAGGGAATGAGTGCATTTTGGGTTTTATTGTAGTGTTTTTGCATACTTCTTCATAAAATGTAGTGTTTTCTTACCTGTAGATCATAAACTATAAGTCCAGGGATGAAGTACTTTTGTTTTCTTTCCCCACGAATCTACTACAGGTCACATGGTAATTATGCAAGCAATATTAGTGATGTTGTAAGTTAATAAATATCTTCATTCTAAGAAGATGTAAGAAAGTGAGGAAAATCTTATGAACAAGGAAACCTAAGGATGCCAGCTGGATTATGTCACATATGGCACAAACAAGAGGGAACTCTGCAAGAAAATACCTTGAAAACCTTCTAATTCTCACTGCCCCTTTTCCAGCATAAAGGTTTCCATCTGCTAGGGAAAGTTTTCTGGAAACAGTAGCTTAGGAAAATACACAACATGTAACTGTTATAATTGCCATGTTTATATTGAGTTCTGGTAAAAATAAAYTTTCAATGTGTTTTAAGCAATCAGTGTTTCCAATAGGCACTGTCAACATGACCTTTAGTGAATCCAGAACTTCTCCTTTACTAAGTATTTAACTGGCTTTTCAACCCCTATGGCTTCCTGTCTAGCTGTCATTTTCCCTCGGCATTTTAAATGTTGGAGCCATATCAAAACACACAAGCCATTCTTTGAGAGGATTTCTGAACACTATAATAATAAAGACATAAAATAAAATAAAAAATTGAGATAGGTTGGGGAAAGAGTACCAGTAAATACAACATATTCTCCATAGGATAGACAAATATAAATGACTATCCCATTCTAATTCTTTTCTTTATTAAAAGAGAATCAATGTTTAGTATGGTCAGCCCTCTGTATCTAGAGGCTCACATCTGTGAATTCAATGACTGAAAATATGAGAAAGAAAATTCATTCATACTAAAAATATACGTATTTTTTTTCTTATCATTATTCTCTGAACAATACAGTATAACAACTACTTATGTAGCATTTACATTATATAAGATAATTATTATAGATAATCTCCAGATGATTTAAAGTATCCTGGAGGATGTGTATAAGCTATATGCAAATGAAATACTTCAACCATTTATATAAAAATCRGTCCTCTCACAAATTCTGGCATCTATGGGGAATCCTGGTACTAATCCCTTATGAAGACCAAGGAATAATTGTAATTAGACTTTACTGAACAACCTGAACAGAATGACATGAAGATAATATGTCATATATTAAATTTTAAGTAAGTTTATTAGTAATATAAAACAATCTATGGTCACCAAATGAACATATAACTCAAACTAGTCACTAACTTAATCACATCATCCACAAAAATTATTTTACATTTCAAAACTGTACTTTTTTCTTACCAACTGGTTGTACTCTCATACAATGACAGTATGAAGTAAATTTGATTTCTTCCTTTGCACATACGATCAACAAGTARATATCAACAAATGTAAAAAGAAAATCAAAATAAATACACATTAGGGAATATAAATCCTGGTCTCATCTCTACTACTATATATCTAGTTATCAATGTCTAGATTTCAAAAGGGCAACAGAACTTGTTTAAAACAAGAAAACAATTGAATAATAATAACAAAATCTCAAACCACATAGGTTAGTCTTTATGTTAGAATCCACATTGCCCTATTACTTGTTCTGCTTAAACCTATTTTAAGCTCACATGGCAACATAAAATAATTAATTAAGATTCTTTTACTTAAAGCTTTTATCCTTCAGAAACTTATCTACCAATAATCTTTCTTCTCTACAAGAATGTCAGTTTTTCCATTTGATCCAACGATGGATCAAAACTAAAGATATGACCTTGTAAAATAATTATAAAAATGCTAATAATAAGAGAGAGAAATTCCTCACAAAAAAATTAGGAGTTTTAAAAATCAGACCCAGAGAGAAGGGAACAGCTAAGGAGAAATTTTTAATTATGTTGATGTCAGCCATAAGGAGGATTATTTAGATCACAATTTAGAATTCTTGTATGTGAAGGAGTCAACTTAGGAAACAGTCATTTTCCTACACAAAACACAAAGAAGGAAGGGTTTAGAGGACACAGTTGTATATTTTTAGTTTTGTTTGGTTAGTTCTGGTTTGGGGTGTGTTTTGTTTTGTTTTAGTTTAAACACCAAAAACTAACACAGATATTTGTTTTTCAAAGAAAATAAAGAAGGAAAACAAAACCCTTTATAAGTACTTATTCTCAAAAGCATATTATAAATTATCCTGAGGAAACAAAGCCATGTTAATCAAATGCTCCAGACTATGTACACTAGAACATTTCCATAATATTAAACAATTTCTCACCTTAAAAGTTGTGGTGCCATAGAGCTTGGTGGTGTGGACTGTTTCTGGAAGCACATTAGTGATATTGGTGATGAATTCCTCCAAGTACTTACAGGATTTCTCCAAGTGTGTTGTATTTATAATAATTTGGACAAGCTAGAAGACAATAAGCATAAGTAACTTGAATATCTGCCACCAGACAGAATGACTCAATATTCATACACTGATACAAAACAAATGAATGGCCTGTGGCAGAGGCCATCCTGTAAAGGGTTAGGTGCAGCATGGGCTTATATCGGAACCTTCTCCACAATGCCTTCTCTGACCTCCCAAAACATTTTGTATTTCTCTGCATTTTAGCAATACTTGTCACACTATTCTTAACACAGTTTTCTTCTGTTTTAAAAAAGCTAGACTGAGAAAAAAAGCTGCTATTCTAACATAGTGCCTGCAAATAAATAATTGCCCAAAGAATTAACGAATGAGATCCCACTAAACGAATAAGAGTAACTGAAATAGCAATGAGAAGTTTCAAAATTAGGCATGATGAACAGACAGATGTTAGAATAGATTGCAGTATATTAACAAATAACTTTAGCTTAGGAAGGAAAGATGGGCATTAAAGTCAGAGAAACCAGGGGACAAATTATTGATCTTGAAAAATGTGATGAACATCATTACCCTAAGTACATGTATGAAGACATGAATGGTGTGAATATACTTTATATAGAACCAGAGATGTGAGAAATTGTGCTCTATATGTGTAAGATGAAATGAATGCATTCTGTTGTCATGTACAACAAACAGAATTAAAAAACAAAAGAACACAACGATGATATTGGGGGTGAAGTGTACCTTAGTGGCCAAGTGCATGCTTATCTTGAGCAAGGCCCTGGTTTCAATCCCAAGCACCAAAAGGAGGAAGAGGAAAAAGACTAATAATGAGGAGAAGAAAAATAGGAGGAAGGGAGGAGGAAGAAGAAGAAGAAAAAGGCAGTACTGGTAAGATAAAAATCATCCTCAGTGGATTCGTTGTAGAGGAGGATGAGGAAGAAGAATTATTATTTCTATATAAAATTAAAGTTGTAAAGAACTTCACAATTTACTTTCTAACATTGTTTTCCCATAAACTTGAAGAAGTAGGTTCAATGCATATAATTATTACTTCCATTTTACTGTAACAGCAATGAAAATGATTTTTTTATTAATCACTTAACTGGAATCAATACTCAAATCCCAAGTCATCTACTTTTAAATTACAGACTCATTTAAACAACTTATAGCAGTGCCTTTTAGCACAAGCATAAGATGGCAGACTGAGGATACTATATGCTTGTGTAAATTTGGCTCACATGTCAGATTTGGGGTTTGCCATCAACCAGATAGCTCCATACTTTTCTTCTACTCTCCACTGAAAGAAAGGAAGAAAGACAGAGGGGGAGGGGGTACCTACTATTTATTTCTTAACTATGAAACTATTGTAACTTTTCATATTCCCTATAGTCTAAAAGAATGGAATYTTTTTGGTCTCTCCTTTCTACATTTAACTTTTTCATTTTCACAAGATTACATCTGGCAGCAGGTACAAAGAGGTTCAGAGTCTGACTCTATGGGCTGATTTAGGCCATCTTTTAGTCTAGTGAAATACTGAGCAAGGGGGAGAGTGGGAAGATGATACAAGGGAGAAATTAGAACAAAAGATGAAGGAGGCACTACACATATTATAAATGATACTTCAAAACACTGTTTAAAAATTGGAATTACACTTTGATAAAATCATTGTGTTATGCTGTGGAATGGGTAAACAACAATGAGAAAGACTATAATCAGAAAGTACATTCAGATCTCCTCCACAACACCCAACACAGGGCTATACCATTCAGTTTACTCTCAAAGGGATCATGAGTTCAAAGCAGGCCTCAGCAACTTAGCAAAGCCCTAAGAAACTTAACAAGACCTTGTCTCTAAATRAAAAATAAAAAGGACTGCAGATGTGGCTCAGTGGTTGAGTGCCCCTGGGTTCAAGCCCCAGTACCAAAAAACAAACAAACAAACAAACAAAAACTTGTCAACTCATAACAATCATGCTTTACAAAGTAATGAGTTGAATTAAGGAAAAAGAGTACCCTTCCTCTTTAAAGATCAGCCTGAAAGTCTTAGGAAAACTGCTACATTTGAAACACAGTGACAAAGGGCAAAGACAAAGAGATGTAGTTCCAGCAAATTCTCTTAGATGAAAAGTTAGGGCAACAGTGAGGTCTAGACCACTGAGTCATTCCCCATAACTCATCAGACAAGGGCCTATGCATCAGCAGCCACTTTCCATTCATCCAAAATATAAATCTGGAGACTTCTGAGTTTTGAACACATGACTGTTATTTTCTATAATATTAACCAAAATATCAGACTTTTAGCTTTTCAGTGCTCTAGGAAAAACACCCACCTAAATAAGCAATTCATCACCCTTATCCTTTCCATCTTTCACCATTAGTTAAGGACAAAAAGCATTTAAAAATATTTACATTGTCTAAATTAAATAATACTTCTTCCTGAGTAGGAAAAGGGCTACTGGCAAGGTTGTCTTGATATGGAAGTTAGAAAATAAGAGAGTTAATTTGGAGAATTTCTATTTTAAAATTAACATTATCTATAGGGAACACATTCTGACTATCAAAAGAAATTCTAATAATAAGGAGGAATCATGTCATGTTATTGAAATAAAAATCAGCAGCAGTCAAAGAGAAAATTGTCCTGTTTTGTAGAATATTGGCAGTTAAAAAAAAAAGGAGGCAGCTTCACTGCATACAGTAGTAATTTCCCATGAGTTTTTAGAGATCTGTCAACACAAAATATCACCATGAATTACATCAATTGGCTGTCAGTCACTTTTGAAATGTTTCATTGCTGAGCACAGAATAGACTATTAAAACACTCTAGGATTACAGAAGATACCATGTCATTTTCAGAGGGAATAGTGTCTATTAATGAGCTCTAAGTGATCTCTACTCCTGAATGACAGTTACCACAATCCTTACAAGGGCATTTACAAATATAAAGTCAGATATTTGGGAGATAATTTTGAACTTAAAGATGAAATGAAGCAATTTCAGATATCAACTTTCATCCAAGTTTGTGCTCCTTCGATGATATTTTTAACCCCCAATTCCCAATCCAAACTGTCCTTAACATTGTTTCAAAGACACAGAACTAACAACAAATTAGGTACTCTCAAAGGGATCATGAGTTCAAAGCAGGCCTCAACAACTTAGCAAAACTCTAAGAAACTTAACAAGACCCTGTCTTTAAATAAAAAATAAAAAGGACTGCAGATTATGGTTATCTCTCATAGCAAGTTCTATAGAACCAACCAGAATAAGAAAATATTATAAAGAAAAATCATCTCTCACAACTTTGACAGAAGTCACTTAAGTTAAAAACCATTAGGAGTTGGAATTCTCCCACCCAACCTCCCACTTTCCTTGTACCAGGGAAGATCCACTGAGAAAGAGATGGACTACATTCTGGAGACCACATCTCCTCAAATCCTGCTACAAAGAGCCCAGTAGAACCTGAACCACAATGACAGATGTTCTATTCTTGAAAGACTCCAGAAAAAAAAAGAATCATCATCTTCAACATCTAAATCTAATCCCTGAATTCCAAGGTTTGCATTCCTAAATGTAACTCACTCCGGGAGTATACACATCTGCTTATATTAGTACTGCTTTTTGTCTGTTTTCAAAAGCAGAAAATCAGTACACTGAAGCTTCAAGAGCTTCAACCCAAAGCAAGAAAATAAGAAGTCACATGCCACTAATGCCTCCAAACTGCTGGATCTACAAAAGGAAAGACTTAAAGAGAAATACTGGCTCTCACAAAAATGAGTTACCCCTAAGACTTCAAGGGATTTTATCTSCTTTTCACCACAACCAAGGTACAAAAAGCTGTGTCAATACTTATTTCATACCATATGAAAGACTAAAACATCGAAAATATTAAGATACATAGACCTACTGATTCTGAATTCCAAGGTTGAATACAAAGTTTTATTTAACAAGACTTAAGTATAAAATTAATAACTAATAACACTGCTATTAATAGGGACTGGAGGTAAATGGTAGGTGAGAAATAAGAGGAAAGAGTCATATAGTCATCAATCTGAATTACACAGAAGGCAAAGCATTGGTCATTTCTTCAGGTCTCTTGGGACACTATTATAAATAAATATAAATACCCAATACAGTATAATTAATAGGAACTCTGAACCTCTTTAACTTTACCTTAAGAACCAAACTATGTATTTTCTTTCTTTTCTTCTCTCTTTTTGTCAATTAAGAGCCTAAAATGTATCAAGGAATTTGGATACAGCTATATACAACTGTACGCAAAGTACCTGGCTTCATAAAGATGACAATAAACACATATACACATAAACATTTAATATAATGTTTATACTATAATAGACACTGTGAATAAAAGTGAGAGTAAGGAAGTAAATGGTTCTACTARTTCTCAGCTATCTTGAAATAGGGAATAGACTAAGGAAGGACTCTTTTAAGGAAATGACATTGAGTAGTGACTTAAATATATTATTTTTCCATTATCTATATTACTTAAATTCTTTTAAATTCAATTTATATCTTAAAGTTTTCTATTAATATAGAAGCAGGATTTCCTTTGATTCATGTTAAAACTTTCCTTTAATTGCAACTATTTTTTTCTTTTTTTGGGGGGTGGGTACTGGGGATTTTTTTGGTACTCGGGGGTATTCGACTACTAAGCCACATCCCTACCCCTATTTTTGTATTTTATTTAGAGACAGGGTCTCACTGAGTTGCTTAGTACCTCACTTTTGCTGAGTCTGGCTTTGAACTCATGATCCTCCTGTCTCAGCTTCCTGAACTACAAGGATTACAGGCATGCACCACTGTGCCCTGCACAACTATTATATTCTAAGAGTATTAAACTGTATTGTTTCATTTCTCTCCATCATACTTATATTTTGAAATTAATGTAGAATGAAAAAAAAAACCTAAGGATTAGAATTCTTTTTTAAAGCTTATTTCAAATCATATTCCAAAAGAAAACTTATTTCAAACTTCTTAATGGTTGTTTGGCCTTAAAGTTCTTCATATTCATAATCTTCCATTATCTGAAAATTGAGATAATAACACCAGGGTTATGCCAAAGAAATAGTAAACGTATTCTTAATAAATAAATATAAATAATGAAGTATTAGGTATAAAATATAGATAATTCCATAGAACTTATAAAAGATTTCTCATCTTTCAACACCTCTTAATCAAAAATGTCCATTTTTCTACTAGGCTTGACAACCACTGCCTACACAGACCTCTTTACAATGACAACCACTGACTACTTCACTATGACCCAGACACTGTTCTAAGTATTTAGCRTGCTTATTTAATCCTCACAACAATCCTATGAAATATATGTATTATCCCCATTTTACACAGAAAACCAAGTATTTTGCCCAAGAATACAGCTATTCAGGGGAGGACCAGAATGGGAACACAGGATGTCCACATTAGGACATCCCCTCTCAAGCAGACCTCGACTTCTACTTCCACAGACCTAGAAGAAGCAGGTCTAGGAAAATAGCTGTAGTTGCTGAGTCAACTAGAGAGAATGACATAAAATTTGAGAGTGAGTTCTAATGTTGAATTGGCTCAACATGGGAAAGCAAAGGAGACACACACACACACACACACACACACACACACACACACACGTGTGCAAGCAAGAAGCCAGTGTGGAGACAGAAAAAGAAAGAATAGACCATATAGTCAGAAAAAGAAAAGATGAGATTTCAGGATATCATGTAATCCCAAAACAAGATTGCCAGATAGACAGACATTAGCTTAACAGGAACTTCAAAGTTTTAAGAAAATTATCTCATGTCCTTATACAGGATGTTATGAGTTTTGTACGCTTATAATAATTCCATTATTTGAGTGGATWTTCTAACTAGAAACCAAATTTTTCTAATTAAAAAATTTCCAGGTTGCTATATACCTCCAGTAAAATCTCTATCTTTGTTAGGATGAAATAATTAAATCAATATGAAAGGTAGTTCAATTGAGTAAAAGGGAACCTCTTGGAAAAAAATAACCCAGATTTATGTCTCATTTCTCCTATTTTGCTAGATGTATGACCTCAGGGGCAATCTCCCTGAACTTTAATTATGCCTTCTATAAAATGGGAATAATAACACATGCCAAGCCTCTTCAAATGTTACTATACTAAATGAAATTGTATTTGTGAGTGGGCTTTGAAGAATATAAACTGCTCCACAAATGTTACCTATTATGATGATGATTCCAGATGTGAAATCACTTTAGTTTACTTTTAAGGATACAATGTCTTCTCTTTCCAGAGGTAAATGGTATAGCTCTTCAAAGATTTTCGGGTTGGTAAGGAAAAAAACCCTTGATGTGTGTGTGTCTATACATTATATACCATGATAATAGGCAAAAGAAATTAATTTGTGTGAATTGTTCCTTCAATCACATGCACAGATCATGCTGATGAAAGTACATTTGCCTAAAAAACATCCAAAGACTTAGGAATAACTATTAGCATTCCATGAAAGATTGCCAAAAATTATAATGTGGTTTTTCCTTGCGAAGCTCTAACCGCTTCTTCCTATCATCATCGGATTTGTATAATGTCATTGTAAAGGACAATGGGACTAGGAAAACCCCAGCTGGTTGAGTTAGGCCTTTCTCTTAAGATGTTTCAGTAAACTAATGACAAAGCTACAACAAAACTCAAGAGTCTACTGAGGCCAAAAGTGTTTGTATCAGACCATGTCCTTGCTAGTCTACTTGTTTTGAAATGGATTTAAAGAAACTGCTAAAATAAATGGCATGATTAGAGTTTTTGAGTTAAAGGTCTGGGGATGTAGCTCAGTGATAAAGTGCTGCCCACCATGCATGAGGCCCTGCGTTCCATCCCTAGCACCAGAAACACACACACATACTAAGAGTTACAGTGAAGAGATAATTAACAAAATAAATTATAGACTTCTTTTCCTAGTAGAGACTAAAAAAATGAAACCAGTACAGTTTAACAAAACACAAGAATTTTCTAATTCTTACTCCTACTTTCCCTTTTTACAGGCCTGATTATAAAAAGAAGTTAGCCTATGTTCAGATGTATAAAGGCAATACCTGACATTTCTACCCCAGGGGAGGTAAAAGGGAACTCTAGAAAAATGAGATAAGTATCTTAAATCTTGACTGTGGTGAATGCTAATTTAAAAAAAAAAAAAAAACAGGTTGTTGTAAGTGGAGCTCAATCACTGCCAATGTCCCACCTTGTAACATTTTTAAAATCTTAACAAAAAGAAAGTCACTCCAAAATCATAAGTAGATGTTCACCTGGTTTCCAGCTGTCTTTACCTATAGGTCAGTATCATTAACCATTTGCTGAGTCTCACCATACTCTTTGACAGTATATATTTTAAAATGTCAATTTTTCCTGGAACAACTGACATTGAAAGCACACACCTCCATAGGTATAACAGATGGCCAACAGCCTTTCCCTTTTCCTGTGGAAAAGAAAATTTCTCCAAGCTCCCACTTTTGGCACTATGCTTCAGAGGATGACAGGTTGAAGGCACCACATAATCCTGGGTCTCCAAGAGAAAAGAAACTTCATATCTTTCTAAATTTTGAAACTATCCATCTATGAACCAAATCTTCAGTTTGCCAAGGTATTATTCCCAATGTAAGTACAACATTCCTTCTCCCATTATGAGAGTGTATTAACTATTGTCTTTCTCTCACATTTCCTCAAACTCAAAGCCCCAGTCCTTTAGCCAAACACTATATGYTAATAGATTACTTTACCATTCATATACATGAAATACCACAAAAACAAAAGCTGAGTCAGTCATGAAGCAAGGACTATTGAGTACCATTGTCCTTGGCAAAAATAATTAAAGCAGGTGAAATGTGATTTCATATTCTATGTTGTAAATGCACTGCAATTCATTTGAATAGGAATTTGTTGTCAACTGAAAACAAAAATTATGATCAATAGCTTATACAAAACCATTCTAAGAACATCAGAAAGGAAAACCAGTTAATCTAATGAAAATGAAAGGAGGAAGAAGCAACCTTTTAGAAAAAATAATGGATTTCTCAAAAGTAACCAAAGAACAAATTTCATTTTGTACTTTCGCTATAAGGAACCTATTATAAAGAAGATAATAAACCATTTAGAAAGTGATAATTAATTCACACAYGAGGCCCGGAGCTTGGGACATCTTTTCACATATTGTCTTGGCTACCTTCACTAAGAGATGCTTTACCTCAGTAAGCCCAATATTCTTCCTTTTAATGACATTCTGCAGAGAGTTGCTCAGAGTCCTGGTTAGCAACAGGTTYGTAGATTTACGAATCATGTCATCGACTTCAGTGGAACTGGAAAATAAGTATCAAGGTTAGTCATGCCAAGTAGAATTGATTTGGCAAACGGAGTGCCAGTGGTGCTTGTAGTAATAATGATAATAAAATAATAGCAATGATACTGGTAACAGTAGTAAATAATATTGACTTTATGCTAGAAAGTATTTGAAGTACTTTAACAAACTTTTCAGCTGTTTTTTAGCTGAAAAAATTTACTTTGCTTTCATTTTTGAAAATTATTTTCCTGTCTACAGAATTCACCGTGGATTTTTTTTTTTWAAAGCACTTTGAGGATGTCACTCTATTTTCTCTGGCTTACATGTTTCAAACAAAAACTCTGCTGTATTGTTATTAGTATAACTGCATTGAATGTTTATTTTCTTGAATGCCTTCCAAGGATTCTCTTTGCCTTTCCTTTTCAACAGTTTGAATATGAGGCTTTAAATACTTTTCTTTGTTCGTTCTTATGGCCATTATCTCTCAAAATTTCTACTTCCCTCATCTCTTGGTTTTTTCCTTCTTGGATTTACTGTTTAAAATTGCTCCAAGGATCTTCGGTACTTCATTTCTTCCTWCTCCTTCTCTCCCCGCACCCCTTCCACTCCATTTTTATTTTTGCAATGCTGAAAACTGAACCCAGGGCCTCACACATGCTATGCCAGCACTTTACCACTAAATAAGCTACATCCCAGCCCTCACTTTTTTTCTCTTTTTATGTCAGTTTGGGTAACTTCTACTGACATATCTTCAAGTTCACTGATTGTTTCCTAAGCTATGTCAAGCCTGCCAATGAGTCCTTCAAAGATATTCTTCATCTAGAAAACTACTTCATATTTCCAGAATTTTTATTTGACTCTTTCCTATAACTTCCATCTGTGTGCTAAAAGTTTCAATATGTTCACGCATGTCACACCTAACTGATAACTCTCCTTCTGTTGAGCCCTTAGTGTGATGGTTTGAATAAATACAGGCAGGAATTGACCTGCACTTGAGTTGTATTGTTGCTATGATTATCTTTAGTGTCTCATAGATTTCAAATTTCTTTTTTTTTAATTTCAAAAAAAATATATTAATGGTAAAACAGGCCTACTATGCATGGTAGAATCTCCGAAGGCTTTTTTCCACAATGATTCTGTACCATGCCCATATTTTAGCTATATCAGCATGCCTCCAACATAGAAGGTACCACTCTTTGCACATCCATGGCCCATCATCCAGTGGTATACTGCCGCCACTTGTTACTCAGTTCTTGCTAAGCTGTGAGCAAAGCTCTCTTTTGCCCTGGCTAGCCTCAATCTTAAGTGTATCCTGTGTGCCCAATGCTTAGAGGTGTTYCTGCCCGTTTTCCAATTGTAGAAGACCTCTTAATGGTAGAAGAGCCTGGGTGCAGGACTGTTTTCTGACCTTCTTTAGTAGAGATAGGAAGTTGCTTCTTCAATGCCTCTGGCAATAACAATGACTCTTTCCTTGCTTCCCATAGAGAGGGTTTTCTGCGATGAAAGCAACTGGTGGGCATAARTGAACACTTCAAACAATGAGGAAGTTGGGCTTCACGCCTTTTTTAATACATGTCTTATCCTCTTCTCCATACCTGCAACATTATCAGTAATTCTCTCTCTCACCTAGCCCACAATCTCTCTTGTGAGCATATAGTGGAGGTTTATGAAGAAAATGTATGAGTGAGTGTAAATAGCTCCTAATTCTTAGACTCCCAACTAGGAATTCTGTACTGCCATGCTAGCTCACACTAAGGTGCTGGCAAYCTCTTAAGACTCTAGTTGGTTTTCCCTTTCTCCTTTGTCTGGTGGCTATCCCTTTCTCYTCTGTTCTGTTATAGGTGGTAGAATCTGTGCATCCTATCTCTTCCTAAGAAGGGCCAGTCTCATCTGTAGTTTCAGTATACTTAGTAGCCCTGTATCTTCAGCTCTCTTACAGGTTCCAGAAGAGTTTTAATTTTTTAGCTTACATGTTTTTTCTCATTGATAGAGAAGAAGCAATACTCTTTTTCCAGGTTTCTGTATTACAAAAAATGAAACTATCTAAAAACAATCTATTTTTGAACTACTGTAACAAAAATAAATAAATAATAAATGCATGTGCATGTGTTCACACAGAAGAAAAATTTAAAAAGAAAAAATTCCATGTTTAAAGAATGTAACGCCTTGTTATAAAGTTTGGAGTCTTTTGTAATTTTCTTCTTTGTACTATTCAATATTCCTCAAATTCTTTTCAATGATCTAGTTTCATGATTAAAACAGAAAAACCTTTATGTTTATACTCTAATATCAAGTACTAATGCTAGAGCATCATTTTTTAATCACAAAAATGCAATTTATTTASTGTTAAAAAATCATTCAGAAAGAATTTTGTATTCTTAGTATTCAAGCAATTACACATTTCTATCATTTTAAATAATTTTCAGCATCTTATATCCTATGAAAAGGAGACTTTTTAAAGAATATATATATTTTTTATTTTAGTTGTCAATGAACTTATTAATTTGTATGTGGTGCTGAGAATCGAACCCAGTGCCTCACACATACTAGGCAAGCACTCTACCACTGAGCCACAACCCCAGCCCCTGAAAAAGAGAAATTTTTTGCAGGAAAGAAATGGAACTTTCATTTAAGACAATGATTACCTTAAAGAGATATAAAATAAGAGAAACACTGGACTGAGATTTTTGAGATCCTTGTGTTTAAGAGAACTGTCTCTCTCTCTCTCTCTCTCTCTCTCTCTCTCTATATATATATATATATATATATATATAGTCTTATATGCCATATTAATCATCATCCTAAAACAGCTATGATTGATTTAATATTCTCTGTCACTCCAGGTTATAAGGCAAATAACTCTAGGATAGAAGATAAATGTCAACCAAAGAGTAAAAAGTAGCTATAAAATGCCTCCAACTTGAATATTCAATTTAAACTTTCAATGTGAAACAAGTCAAAGGGAGCTTTCAGGCAAAATTTTAATATAGTGTTCATGCATGTAAAAGAAATTTGAACCATTTAGATAGTATTTATTTAGATATTATACTATCCCTTTACCATATTAACTTGTCCGTATGAAAGACATCAGGTCACATTGCAACGAACTTGTAATAATTTATCTACAGTAATATACTTAACAATACCCTATGATTGTTCTATAATAATGAGGTTATCTGATCAGTTGGGGCTGGAGGATGGAAATCCTGGGGAAATAATGTTTGGTGTGTAAATTTCAAAGACAATCTCATTTTCAAGATAACTTTTCCCTGAGGATGTGGTCCAGTGGTAGAGACTTTGCCTAGCATGCACCAGGTCCTGGGTTTGATCCCCAGCACTGCAAAATAAAAAGGCAGGGGGTGGGGAGGTTCTATGAAATAAATCTAATTTTCAGAGAAAAAGGACAATTCATTATATAATCTCTATTTTTTTTTTCATAGAAAGAATTGTTTTCAAACATGTGACTCAAAGTAGTTTACCCAAGGTAGACTCTTAAGTTTAAATTTTAAAGTAGCCCAGTACACTATACTTTCCATTCATTCATTCAACAATTTTTTTTTAATTTATTGAGTTGAATACAGCAGRAATCGTGTTCCATAAAAGATACTGTTTTTATCCTACAAGAGGTCTTTTTGAACATTCTAAATTTGTGTTAATTTTGGATCCTATGTTGTTCCTATTTATCTCTAGTTTGTACCATTAATTGTTAAGTCCTTTAATTAAATGAGATACTCCTTGAAGATAGAGACCCTATTTTTAACATCTCACTGTCTTTACTACCAAGCAGTATCTAATGTAATACACTGGCCATAATGTATAGTAAATAAACCAATAAATGAACAAAGAAAAAAGAAGCCCATAGTCTAACACATACAGAAACATATACATAAGCAGAGCAATAATAATGTTTCCAAAGAATCTTATCGACTATTTTTCTTCTGGCCTTAAAATTTCATCAAATAGAATATTAAAATTAGTATGTTATACTACTATTTTTCAGTGAGTTCTCCTTAATAAAAATATTAAAATAGAAATCTGTTAAAAAATAAAAATAAGATAGGTAATATTAATTTTAAAACTATTCTTAAGTTGCCATCTTTTCCTTTGATAAAGAACTATAAAAATAAAAGTGTCATGTAGCAAAGAGCTAATATTAAAAATCAAAATCACAGATGAAGGCACTATCGAAAAATTGTCAGAATTTTTATTTAGAGAGGGCCACAATCTTCATTTTGACTCTTTCATACTGTACCTTAGATGAAGATCTTCTGAAAACTTCAGACATGCATAGATAAATTCTTTAATTTGGTTGTAAACTTTTGGCACAAATTCAGAGAAAGGAAACTTTTTGGGGAATGGTTGCTGTAAATGCAAGAATTAATGAAAGGAAGTCACAAACACACAATGGATATATTTAAAAATTATTTAAAACACAAAATGAACTTTCTTCCACACTGGGAACTGTCTGCTTAACAAGCTCAAATTTAAAACAATGTCTTCAAAAGTTTTCTGACACTATAAAAAAGGTGCGAGGGCTTAAAAATAAAAAAAATCCAAAAGTTCTTCAATGTGGAAAGCTAAACAAATTTTAGCACATGCTCAACAATAAAAAGAAATGAACTACTGATATATCCAACAACTTAGACAAGTCTCAAAAGCATTACGCTAGTTAAAGAAGTCAGCCTCAAAAGGTTATACTACATGATCCCATTTATATGGCACTCTGAAAAAAACAAAYAGAGACCAGATTGGTGTTTTCAAGTATGGAAGTGATGGGAGGGGTTAATCAGAGTGGGGCAGCATGAGGAAATATGGGAGGGTGATGAAASTGTTCTCTTTACCATGGTAGTGAAGACATCCACAACAGATTGTCAAAAATAACAGAAATGTATACCTCCAGAGGTACATTTTACTGTGAATTCTGGGGATAAATGGTCTTAAGAGCATAATAAAAACAAGCATTTCAAAGTGTAAACCAAACTGGAATATCCCCAGCAGTCCTCCAAACCCTTCAGAGGTTATTGGACCCCAATGCCATCTACTGAGTGCCATATCAGGGAATTCTGTTCTAAGCACCAAAGATAATCCGTGGAAGTGCATTAGAATTCTAATCCACTGGGGAGAAGGTCATCATTTTCAACGAAACTGATCTAATGAAAGCTTCTACAGAATGGCAAAACAACGAGGGAAGTTTATTTGAAAGTATTCCTTACCTTTTCCAGCTCTGTATCTTGGAATGGGAATTGTCCTACCACCTTTTTATACATCTCCTCACTTGTTACTGGTATGGGACTGTAGTTGTCAGAATCAAGTATGTTTCTATAAAAAAACAATAATGGAAGAAAGTGAAGGAGGGAAAGAGAGGTGGTGGGGAAATCACAAGCAATTTTATGATGAACACCAACAGCTAATGGCTATATACATATATCACAACTTCGAAGTTACACTCCCAGTGCCCATTTACATATATATATATATATATATACACACACACACACACACACACACACACACACACACACACATATACACCCCTTCTATAATACAGCCATTTGGCTCAAGATAAAATCAACTTTTTTATTTTTTATTTCCTCATTTTTAATTGGTGCATTATAGTTGCACATAATTGTACTTTTTTTTTTTTACAAATCCATATATGCACATTAAATCGATTTTTAAAGCATCTTTTAAAAAACTTCTTTTTTGTTTGTTTGTTTGGTGCTGGGGTATAAAGTGCTTGCCTCATATATGCTAGGCAAGCACTTTATACTTTACCCAGCCCTAAGATCAATTTTTAAAGAAGTCAGAAAGAAAACTATGCTCTGAAACAAATAGAAGACAATTGTAAACATGATCTTGCAGTATTTGAGATTCAAAAATGGGACAGAAAATTTTAAGGCAAGTGAGAAGTAAACAGTAAAAGAATGTATACTCTAGAAAAGACAAAGAAGTTGTTTCTTTTTGTTTTCACAAGAAATATGTGATAATAATTATGTTTTTTAATCCTGCACTAGATATTCTAACTTTTGAAACTGGCAGGTAGAATAAGTAACTTTTATCATAAATCTAAATTGTGCTCATTTACTTCATCTACTACTCTACATTAATCACACATTATGTTCATCTATAATTTTTCTCTCCTTAACTAGACTGGGGGTTCTCTAAAAACAGAAACCAGCCGACCAAAATCAAAACATGAAACTCACTGGAGTGAGTGAAAGCACCATATCAGAAGGACTTAAGATTGCAGCATTATCCTGTTGTTAATTTTCAGAAAATTCTATAGAGATAACCCTCCCCTAAGAACAATTATCACCATTAAATAAATACAGATTTTTGGAAGTATAAGTATTTACATTAATATACAAGAGAGTCTGTCTAAATGATGATCAAGGCTATGTTTATGAACTATAAAAAATAAGATTAAAAGAATCACWTAAGATCTTAAAACTATAATACTTTGAAAGCAGGATAATCTAATCAAGGGAAGGCATCACACAAAAGGCAAGAAGATCACTTAAAGCAATAAGTTTTAAAGACAATGAGTTGGCATAGGGTATGTGCTTAGAAAACAATCCTAAGACATATTTTTTTGAGTGTAGATTGTAACAGAATAACWTTCTTATTATTGAATGCAAGTGGCCGTAACTACTCAAAAAAACATGGCTTAAATAGTGGATTATACTAATCTGCTGTTTCTGAGGATGAAGAAGAAAAATGACAGATAACATGGCTGTATCTTCAACACAGTTTCCCCAAAGCTGAAATTATTCATAAAGGCACAAATGCCACTACCACATACATGAGATATAAAACTAGATATGATCCTCAGAGAAAACTAAAAATTGGAATAAGACACAAGTTGATCCAGATGGTATGAAACAATGACTCTGACATTCCCAACTAAGAAGACTGGATATCTTGGGAACATCATTTTTTAATAATATCAAATTTCATCTGAATTCTGGAACATAACCTGGAGTAACTAGAAACTTATATGCCACATATTCTTACTTGCATTACATCTGAAAATCATGTACATAAAGATATGTGTACACACTTGGACACATATGACTACAGTTTCTCACCTGAAAATACCTGCCCACTTCTTCAGTAGAGTTTCACTATACTGGTCTCTTATTTCTAACAGCATGTCAAAAAGTTGATTTACAGGAAAACCATAAACCTGAAACAAAATAAGAAAATAAYTTCATTTTCTAAGGTGACTTTTTAAAGCAACATAAGAGGGATTAGGCACTGAAAGACATTTTGTTSTTTGGCAACAATTTCAATAAAACCATGTGGGAAAATCTTCTATTCCCATCCTAACATTTAGTGTTTATTTCACAAAAATTAAAGGAAACATACAAAAATGGCTAAGCCAGTCGGAAAAAATAAATGATAAAAATTAAAATCAATATATGGTAGGTATGCTGTAAGCAAAGTTCTCCCTTTCACTCCTCTTAACTTTTATTGCCTATACTAACAGAGAATAAGGAGAGAAAAAAAAGATGGTACTATTTCACCACATCTAAGCTACTCTGCTGAAGACACTATGTTGTTCAAATCAACCATCATTATTCAAGATGATAGTTAACCAAACCACAAAGTCATTCAGGTGCCATTACCAAACTAAGAACATTTTTTAAAAACTAATGTGGCAAGTTGATTAACWGGTTTGATATGAGAGAAAAAAAGGGGGTGGGAAGTACTTATAAAAACATAAAGTTTTTAAAAAATATTTTTTGTTGTAGTTGTACACAATACCTTTATTTTATTTATGTATTTTTATGTGGTGCTGAGGAGAGAACCCAGGTCCTCACACCTGCTGGGCGAGCGCTCTACCACTGAGCCACAACCCCAGCTCCCCTATAAAGGTGTTTTTATATTGTATTTTATAACACAAAGGTGTTTATATATCACATAAAAGGTGAAACCTAGGAAATGCTACAAATAGATAAAAAGGTMTAGCTCTAGGAAAAGAAAAAACTACTAAGGACTAAAGTACTTATCCAAGCTTACATAGATATGACAAGAGTCAGTGTTGATGAATCCTTAAGCTAGATGAGCATATGTAAACAGAACTCACATACCTGAAGTGTGTCAGCAAAAAGCACAATAAGGTTCTTCAAATCTAACACAAGGTTTGGATCAGAGCAGTAAGACTAAAGGAAATAAAAAGAAAGGGGGAAAAGACCTCTTAATGAAGAAAAATACAACTAAATTTTTATTTATTAAAGTGATTAACACTCCACCTGGGGAAGGCTCTTGTAGAAAGGGCCTGACMATTTTGTGGTACAAGGTATCAACAGAACCAGTCAGGGAAGATCTGGATAGAGTTCAATASCCACAGTCTACATTTTCAGCACTTTGAAATTAAAACATACACCATAAATCTTTGCCTAAAATAGAAATCAAAATTGCTTCAGATTATTTCTAAATAACAATAAAAACATTCAGACCCAAACCTATGATATATGGCTAAAGCCACTTTCAAAATAACTTTATATCCTAATAGGCAAATATTAGAAAACAAAAAAGATAGAAAATAATCAAATTAAGCACTGAATTCACGAAACTAGGGTGGTGGGCAAATAAACCATAATTAAGTCAAAAAATGAAATTGATAAAATTAAAAGCACAAAATAATGGTTTAAATAAAACATAAAAGAGTTAATCATTTAAACCAAAATTTATGACTACATCCTAGTAATCATACTACAAAACTTCCTAACTCTTTAATATTTCCTCTGACAAATGACATATTAAGACTTATTCACGCCCTCCCCCAGTGCCTGCAAGCGAGGCGAACCTACAAGCCACGGGCGGGCGGGTCAGGCCCAGCAACCAGCCAAG